GTGATAATGATGGTGGTAGGTGTGGACAACATGCAGAAAGCTGGCTCCACAAACGGTGACGCGTGAAGGGTGATGCCAACCTCACCCTGCGCATTTTTGAACTTTTGACCAAGAGGAAGTGCCAATATACTGGGTGGAAGCATAACAACTGTCTTATAATCCTCCCCGAACTTCACCTGCATGCCTACGGCAGTAATTAGCCCGAGCTGCAGATCAGATCGGATGGTGCAGTTCCGGTTCGGGGAAACAAAAAGTCATCGGCCCAAGAAAGTTTGCAAAGAGCTGGCGCTCTGCAAGAGCGTCTAAAGCAGACTTCACGAAGGCCTATAATAAGGTGTAAACACAAAAAGGGTGAGCGGCTGGATCGCTTGGCCTGGATCCTCGCTTGGTTAGAGCAAGGGCAGTGCCTCCACTCAGCTTGAAATACGTGCCGTCGAAGAGATCTGCAATTAAGGCATGTTTGTGGTCCGAGACACCAGCTCGCTCAAGCAGCGTGACGTTGGTCAGATGTGTCTTAAGCTCCTCCAATGTGGAGGGCGGTACTTTGAGCTGGTGGAAGAGACGCAGCAAACTGGCGGGATTGTCTGAGAACCTGATAGAATTCCGCCTTGAGATCGAAGAAGACAACTGCACCCCAACAGCCTGGAGTTTGCTAAGTGCAAAGAAAGTCTCGGCGGCAGGAGAGACCAATTCGATGCTTTGACTGGGGGCAATGCCGCCGTGCAGTGGATCATTGGTAGCAAGCAAGGCAGGTAGCAGTTGTTGACGAAGACAGCGATGGTCCACCTTGCCCGGGACGGAGGAAATCAAGATGGACCTGTAGTCTTCGCATGTAAGAGCACTGGAGGCTCTTTTTGCAAGAAGGCGTAGGTCGCCTCATCGAAACAGCCTCGATGTGTATGGTGTGTCAAGGCGGATGGCATGAGGACCTACAGCTCTATTACGCTGCAATGTGTGGACCACAGTCTCGATCTGCAAGAGAGTGGGGACGGGCATCAACATCAAAGGTCCCACTGAGGTGTGGGACGATGGTCCGAGAAGTGTACTCGGCGGGGACCAGGGAAGGCAGGGGTTTGAAGGCACTCCTACGCGAAGTCCTTGCAGCAGGAAAATATGCCAACGCAACAAAGCAAAGGAGCAGGAGCCTTCGACCTCGCTCCCCTCTTTCAGTCTTCCAATATCTGCGAAGCACTGTTCGTGTGTGTATCATGGCCAACGTGTCCACGGTGAGGAAAGGCAGTTTGGGCGCATGCAGAATGGACTCGCTCGTGGCAGCAGCAACCTTGTGCCAACTCACAACAAGGGACTGATACGCTTGATGATATAAATCCTGCATTACCCATAAGGAGGAATATACCATAATTCCCAGAGTTCAGGGTCCTTAAGGTAATGCAGGATTTATATCATCAACCGTAGTGTGCATTTCCCCTCGTGCCGACCATGGAACACAGGGGGACCTCAGACAGCACCTGGCGGGCAGACCTCCGCTCCTGCAGTGTGTGGGCTGGTGTGGGGTTTAGGGTTTAGGGTTTAGGGTTGCCTAAACACCCGCTTGGTACTGCTCACATAAGACTGTGCTGGCAGCGATTTGGAAAAGTGGCATCGTAGCAGTAGCAGCACAGGAACATGCAGGAACGTGGTCATCACGGTGCTGCAGTACCTCAATTTCAAAAATAACTTGAGGGTTACAGTCTAAAGGTCTTCCACTCGTGAGGAATGACAATGCAGTGGATGTGCGGCCACTGCCCTAAGGGTGAGCACCACGTGCCACTACAGCCAGAATGCACATCGACCTCGGTAGAAGGAAAAAAGCACCGATGCCAGCAAGAAACACGTGGAAGATCGCCCCGGCGGTAGGGTTTCCGGGTAATTGTTCAAGATTGCTTTCCCAAAGCCGAATCTCTCACTCTTGTCGAAACCGTGCCGAACCCGTTTCAGGCCCCTCTCAGCCTTAAACAGTACTCTAAACACGATTCCACCTTTTACCCCAAACCCAAAGCCCCAAACCCCAAACCCTAAACCCCTAAATCCCTTAAATCCCCAAACCCTAAACCCTTAACAAACCCCTACACCCTAAACCCTAAACCCCCCAAACCCTAAACCCTCGACCCTCTAAAACCCTAAACCCCGAAACCCTACGACCGAGCGCCCGGACCCCTTGGCGTTCACGGTACAGAGCATGCAGCAGCTGTTCCAACCTGGGGCTCTGCACACAGCACCTTACCTAAGGGTGCACGTGCTCAAAGCATACCCTAAATCCTAAAACCCTAAGCCCTAAAGCCCTAAAGCCCTAAAGCCCTAAACCCCTAAACCCATAAAACCCTGAACCCTTTTAGGTCCCATTTAGAATTGTGGTGGTTCTAAGAAGCCTTCTGCACTTTGGGGGGCCCCTAGGCATGACACGATGTGAATCCCAGGTGCGTTGCTGATCCACGACACCGCCCATGTGGAAGAAAACTGAGCTAACCAGCTAACCCCTGTGGGGTTGGGTTTAGAGTAGAGGCTATGGACATAATCTCCCTTAAAAATCTAAACCCCCACCCTAAACTCAAGCCCCTAAACCCGAGCCACGATCTATCTGTATATCTTACCACCCTGCACACAGCATCGGATCGGTCCTCGGAGAAACCAACAAAATGCTGGCCCCAGAGTCTCTTAACTAAGGAATCGACCTCCCATCATAATAGGAATCCGAGTACCCTTTAAAGCATTAAGGCAACTACGGCTGATGATCAAAATCCCGCATCTATCCCCATAAGAAGGACTATTAACCATATATAATCCCCACAGTTTAGGGCTCCTTAAGGTAATGCTAA